CCAGGGCCAACTAATGCGACAGTCTATTCAAAAATGCTGATCGATTTTTTCACTTGACGCTTTGACAATGGAGAGCAGCCCCAGCTCTTCGAAACGTCAGCCAGAGAAGTCCCCCGATCCGGTGAGCAGTTCATTCTCCTCAAATAAACGAAGTTTTCCGGTGCTCGACTCTTTTTCTTCTTCTTCTTCAAATATCCACCTCAGACTGTTAGGGCAGTTTTTAAAATATAATCATAGCCGGATGCCCTGTACACAAAACCGTGTGTCGGCCAATCTCCTCGGCCAATCCTCGTCTACAAGATAATACACGGCCTTGAGCATGGACTTAAATTTGAGGACATGTTTCAGTGGCACCTTTCACCCAACCTTCGTGGTCACTCGATGAAGTTACGGACAACAATGTCCAGGCTGAATCTTCGTTCTGAATTTTTCACGCAGAGTGTAGTGGAGAAATGTAACGATCTCCCTCAGTCAGTCGTGGAGGCTACGTCTCTGCAACTCTTCAAGAAACGCTTGGATGATTATTTGTGTCCCCTGTTTTCCCTCGACAGTGTGAATCTGAACTAAGACCCCACGTCCAATCAAATACTTTCTCTGAGACAATGCTACTCAAATGGAGCAAGTACTGTTTTAATAACAAATATTTTTTGTTCGTGTACAGTTATTACTAACGAGCTGACATGTAATCAATAGGGTTTTCAAAGGCTTTGCCTATTATCCTTACCAAATAAACTGAAAATAAACTGAAATAAACTGTGTAAGTGGAGATGGTTCCATGACTGAATGGATAATAAGTAAATACATTTTCATTAAAGACCCGCGGGGTTCCATCATAGCAAGTAAAAATAAATTTTCATATGGATCTTAGACCAAGTGCACAGAACCTCATTAGTATTCAGTTCATGCTTTTAGAATAAGCAGTTCTGACAGAAATATTAGGAGCGAGCAGTGAAAAAATATCCTTCAACTAATAAACAAAATGTGATTGGATTGACTTTTAAGGAGGAAAACAGTCGATCATGAAAAGATAAGAATGCGGGCAGGACCGTTCTGCGTGACATAGTCTACAACGGATTTATGCGAATATCTCCAGGACAGAAAAGGTGTAAATCATGAAGGTGTAAGTGTGTGAATAAGACAGGAGTGGCCTGCATGCAGTAACGTATAAGGGATTCGATAGGGACATCATGAAGGCTGAATTAATGCACTAGATGATGCTATTCGCGTCAAAGTGGCGAGACGAGAAGAACCCAGACGCGAGGAGGAGGAGGAGGAGGAGGAGGAGGAGGAGGAGGAGGAGGACAAGGCCGAAGTTTTTGCAGGCGGCAAATAAAAGATCGATGATTTGTTGCATGTCTCCTTCAGCAATTGCATTGAGGATGCGGTCATTGGCGAACAGAAGTTCGTGGACGGTGGTTGTGGATACACGTGACTGGAAGTACGTTCGCCGTTGATTGAGGAGGTGGCCGTCCGTCAGTCACGCCTCTGGACGAGGACATTGTCCTGCAGGGGCCAGTGTCGCGACCGAGGATGCATCCAGGTGGCCTCGTCTCCCACCCAGAGACAGAAGAAGGTGTTGGTCAGGATGAGTCGGTGATCTCTGCAGGTTCTTAGGAGAAGCAGGGCATTGTCATTGGAGCCATCGAGACCATGCGGACCCAGCACTCCTCGCCAGGCAGCATGGTCTGTGCCGACGCGGAAATTGAAGCCACCAAGGACAATCAACTTATCCGCCTTCGGCACAGACGCCAAGAAGACGTGCAGGTCATCGTAAGATTTGTTCCTTGCCTCGTCATGACTGGTCATGGGCGAGGCATAGACGATAACCGTTGTGACGATTTTCCCTCTCTAGAGGGGCAGGCTGAGGCTCACCAGACGATCTTTGATGCCCTGTTGCAGACAGGACTGTCGTCCAACGATGTCGTTCTGGATGGCAAAGGCGACGCTCGCGTCCTGTCGCACTGCCTTGGGGCGACCGCTCCAGGCTAAGGTGTATCCGGCACCCACCTCCTCCACTTGTCCTTGTTCGGAGAACCGGGTCCCGCCGACTGTAGCGATGTCGAGCTTATAGCGCTCAGTTGCCGAGCTACTAGCGCCGTCCTCTGTCCTCATCCTACTAGTCTGGCGAGTGGGGTGAATGGGAGTAGCAGGGGGAGGAGTGGAAGTGTTGTTTCGATTTTTATTGTTTCGACCGTGAGTTTTACATCTTCGGCCGCGGTCAGCCAGCAGACGGCGTGGATCCACAGCATTTGAACCGACTGCTCCCTGTCGCGCGCGGATTAAATTTTGAGTTGCAAGAAGGAAGTTCTTCAATCGAGTATCTTAACTGAAAACGACTGTCCTTTATCAAAAAGTGGATTATAAAACGCCTTTCTGACAGCGATCCTCCAGCTAGCTCCGTGGATACTCTTATCATTCGACTAGAACAAACTGCAGCAAAAACGGTCTTTCTGACGGAAATCTTGGCTTGTCTACAGGTCCTATCCATCCAGTATACCGTGTCCAATTGCTCACCGAAGTTAGGAGCAACATCTACGAAAAGGCTGAGTCGATATTTCTACACTGCTTGCTGTGCTGCTTATATTCAGACAACTCGAGTTGTCTCAATTTACCATAGATTTACCTGAAAAAAGCACTCCCTGGACATTTTCGGCGTACCCAGCATAAGCATAGACACTGTCAACAGTTGTGATTTAGGAAATAGCTTGTTATTACTGCAGATTTTTCCGTTTTTCATAAGTCCACTACATAATTAATATTTGCGCAGTCACCCAAAATAGCACGCTGCATGACGGAGTCGGTCCACCGACCATCGACATTTCAGTCGCGCACGCTAACCCCTCGGCCACCGAAACACCGCGGCGAGCGATGTCGCAAACTTAACTTGATATTAAATGCTTGCCGCATACCGATCGATCTTGCAGTGGATTCCAGATATTGGCCGGCAAAATCAACCGCCTTGAAGAAGAGATGGAAAAGATGAAAGCTCTTCTTAAATGTAGACAGGACACACTTGACGATGCGAATCTACCTGTTGGACGAATAACTAGAAGTAGGGCCAAAGGACGTCGCACAAAAGACACGCCATCAACACCTACAGCTGTCACGGCAGATCCAGCACAAACACATAAAATACAATACGACAACAACCAGCAAAGCAACAATAAAAAACCAGAGGAAAAAAAGAAATCGTGCAACAAAAAGGTCAAAGGACATGGACAGCAGATTCCAAGGAATGCCTCCGAAGAACCGGAACCAGGGACGTCGGCGTCCATGTTGCCCATCATGGGAAATGACATGGGTCCTAAAACCCTCAACCTATCGCAAAAAACTTCCGACTTTGATGAAAATGCAAACAAAACAGAGGCGAATGAGGAACTTAATCGACTGCAGCTTATATCCTCGTCAGATTATGGCAACCACGTATTGCCTTTGTCGGAGCACGAAACCACTATGATCCCGAGAGAGTCGCCGGTCAGAGGGCAATGTCTGATTATTCAGGGACTTCCCGAATCCACAGATAGTGCATCCAAAGAGCGGGTCCCGGCAGACCTGCAACTCTTTCAATGCCTACTCAACGAACGTCTGCGCCCCCAATGAGGAAGTTTCGGTTCTCAAGGCCTTTAGGCTTGGAAAACGCTCAATCGACATATCAGAGCATTCACGTCCCCGACCACTCAAGATTGTGTTAGCCAACCAAGAACAAGAAGGACTTATTCTCTCACGACGATTCCGAATCAAATACACCAACCGCGGCGTTTTTTTTAGCCGAACTACATACTTTCAGAGAGAATAAAGCGTCGACAATTAGTTCTGGATCTGAGAACAAGGTTTCGGAATAGCGAGACGGATATCGTGATCTACAAAGACCAGATAGTGCAGCGCCCTCCCCTAATCCGTTGGACCGAACCGATCCGGATGAGGGCACAATAGCTTCCTTAAGTGGATCTCAAGTGGCACCATAATCAAACGCCCCAAAACTCTGAAACTAACATTTTTACACCAACGTGCAGAGTATATTGCCCAAGTTAGACGAACTGAAGATCCACATCTGTGACCTTTCCCCTGACGTTGTCTCTTTGACAGAAACCTGGCTGTCTGAAAACGTGGATGAACGCGAATTAATGCTACCAGGATTTCAGTTGTTTCGAAGAGACAGGAGAGAGCGTCAGGGAGGAGGAGTCGTCACGTACATAAAACACGGCCTGCTTGTGTCAAAAAAACAGAACAGTTTGCATGCAGCACCGAGACTATCTGGCCCACTATAAGGGTACCAGGATCACATAGCCTTGAAGTTCTGACCGTCTATCGACCACCGAGGAGTGACCTCGAGGCTGACGCTTGTCTGTTAGAGGATCTAGGACGATTTGCTATCCGGCCTGACGTCCTGATCATGGGCGACTTTAATGCACCGTTCAATGTCTAGAGTTCACTATACGCGCGCGGCCTCAGAACCAGCTTTCGACCGACGATTATTGGACATGGCACTCGGGTCATTTCTCACACAGCACGTCCTAATTCCCACGAGGGTCCGTGAAAGGCAGCAGTCAAACTGCTTGGACCTGGTGCTCACGGAATCGACGGAGAGCATAGATGAGGTACAATGTCTGCCTCCCTTAGGTCGAAGCGATCACGTCGTACTTCAATGCGACTATTCAATCTTTTCCGTGCCTGAACAGCCCACCATAATTAGAAGAAATATTTGGCGTGGAGACTTTGATCAAATGAACGCTGAAATCTACAATACGGACTGGGAATCAGCGTTTTCCGGAAATATAGCGGAGGATTGGAAATGGTTCAGTGAATTATTGCATGTTCTCCTGACAAACCACTGCCCGCTTTCACGGAAGGGGCTAAACAATCGACCCCGGTGGCTGACTCAGGCGTTGAATAAGGAAATAAATAAAAAGCGGAGATGGTGGCAGAAATCTCTTACTCATGGGACTCCTGTATCCATAAACGCATACAAAACACATAGGAACTTAGTCAGGCGACTTACCCTCAGGACACGGCAAAATTTTGAAAAAGACCTATTGAATCGTGCTATGGAAAATCCAAAATTATTCTACAGATACATAAGAATCAGCACACGAAACAGAGATCCAATCTTCCTTCTGAAGACAAGCGGAGACGTAGAGATTAGTGAGGATGTAGAAAAAGCTGAGCACTTTTCACTATTTTTCAAGTCCATCTTTACTAGTGAAAGTGCATTTTCTCCTCCCGTCTACGACTTCGATGAGGGTCCAAAAATTGAGTCTGTGTCTTTTGATGAAGCAACGGTTCGCAAAGAGCTAATGACGCTGAATGAGTCGAAATCACCGGGTCCAGACGACATACCGCCTAAGTTACTGAAGGAGCTCGCTGCCGAACTAGCCAAACCATTTTCCATGCTTTTCCAAGCCCCGTTTAGCTAACCTTGATCTCTTTCCCTTGACTTACTGGCAGTTACGGGGTGACCTGATACAAGCCTTCCGCATCATACGCGGTCAGGACTGCAGCCTCGTACCGGGGGGCTACTTCGAGTTTGCAACCACCACAAATATACGAGGCCATCCATTCAAACTACGTGTGACAGGGGCCAGATTGGACACAAGAAAGTTCTTCTTCTCTGAAGGAGTGCTAGAAGCTTGGAACGCCCTGCCTCCGAATGTCGTTATGTCTGCTTCCGTCGAGGTCTTCAAGAGGAACCTGGATTTATATAGCAGCGTCTAGTACATTACCACCATACCTCTGTAAACTTGACAAATTCCACTATTATAATACTACTTGCTGTATTTCAGTGGCATTTTAATTTAATTTCTTATTGTTCCCAACCCATCGCCTACGCTTACTGACATGCACCTATGAAACTTTTGTCACCGGATATATTATTTATTTCCCTGCACTCGAAATGACCGCTCTACAACTGCTCGAACCACTAACATTCGAGACAGTTTGTTTGTCTGTACAGATCTGACGCTTTTCCGATTATTTGTTCCCTTTATGATACCTTTTCAAGTTTTTGAGATTTTGCAGTTGCTTGTACACAAATAGAGAGTTCAGAGGTGAAGACCTACATTTCCCTCAATAAACTGTACTGAACTGAACGCCTTTTCTAGCCCCTTCACCCTCGCGGGTGTGAGCGACGCTGTTCCAGGCGGCTGTCGATCTCCACCAGGGGCCACGGCTTTGGTTTAGTGGAAAACGTTAGCCTAGGGCCGCCTACAACGACGCGTAGGCAGCGAGAAGGAAGATAGACAGAATGCGCAGCTTTCCCGCCGTTCTCTAGGATGACTGTTTGTTTAAATAGAATCCGTGTCCAGGCATATTCAATAGAACGGCATTAAACTTATAGTCAGGACGGACACGAACAAGCAGACCGAAGCTAGCAGGCAAGAACATCACGAATCAAGGGTAATACTGGGAGTCCAACAGAACGGGAATAAGCATTTAACACGGGCAGACACAACCAAGGAGACAGTGAGCAGGCAAAAAGAACAAGCAGAGTGACTTTCGCTTGCCTGACGGCTCACTTACATTATGGCCTCCTGCGGAGTACATACAAACATTGTACGCCTTGGCTTTATTCGAGTCCTCATGAACTACGAAGAAACCTTCGAAATGCATTGATTGTCACACAGTGAAAAGGGCTTTTATTGTGTCGAAGATATAACGGGACAGGTGATCCGTGATAATAGAAATAAGTGAGTAGTTTAGGCCAGTAGAATGTCTATGTACGTACATTCAGATGCTTCGTGCTAGTTCAATTTATTTCGGTTTTATTAAGGTAAGATAGACGAACATTTTTGAACTCCTTTCTGGTTTCAGGCCATCTAAGAAAATGCACCGAAAGTAGAAAATTGAAAGAAAGGTTGTTAACATTATTGCATGCGAAAACAGGCAGCTGTCTGCTAGTCGAAAAGGGTGAACATAAACGTCTACACACTAATCTCAGGTAATGTAGTTATATATGGGCTCGGTGACCGGTTATGCGGATGCGTATGGGTGGTACTTGGGAAGCTTGACACGTGTTAATTTTACACTTAAACGAGTCCTCGCAGGAAAAGAGTACAAAATCCGTTTGCAGGGCATCCCATGCTGCAACCATCCTGGTACCGATAAAAAAAATCTGCGCCCATCAGTCCTTGTGTATTTCCAGAGGATGGCCTCGCAAAGTGGGCGTGTTAACCTGATTTAAAAATCACGGAGGACGGAGCAACAGTCCAGGCCACTCATAATGCGGAATGTAAGGGTAAGATCATCGTCAAGTTGCCTTTAGGAAAGGTAAAACGGGTTGAGAGTGGGGAATCTATTTTCACAGGGCAGTGCTCCCAGCCCTTTTGTCACTTTGTCACCGGTCTTTGTACCTTCTCTAAGATGGTACAATCCATGGCAGTCCAAGGTCTCCACGCCAGTATGTCGTGAAGTAGACGCGACCAAATGAGAGAGCCAGATATTTTGGAAGTGCTGTCTTTATCAAGCCCCATAGATACTGGCCTAATGAGTCGCAATCTGGACATGACCGACTTGGCCGCCTTCGAGCACTTCAATGTTGTTTTAATATAGAGAGAGGAAGTCGCTCTATTTTGAAATCATAAGTTCAAAAATTTCAGCAAAAACTGGCTCCTTTCACTATGGGCAGTAAATAAGTTAACAGATTATTTAAGAGTCAAAGTTTAACACAAAGAAACTATTATTATGAGGATAGTTCAAGTCTTATCTTCTGTATTTCTATCTCTTCGTACGTAAGATAGCGCGCTAGGAATGGCAATACAGAAGCTCGATAAGTCGATGTGCGACATGACATAAGTTGGGAGCGGCGGCGTATCGGGCGCGAAGACTTCGCAGAAATAAGATCAGAATGCAATGGATGGGCAACGTCCTCTATAATCCGACCAGTAAATTGCTTGACCGCATTGAATTGCCGTTGTAAGATAGTGTCAACCAAAAAAGATAAGAAACGCCAGCAGCAGAATAGAACATGCGGAGGACTTGTTTCAAAATTAAAAGATCCTTTTTAAGCAAACTAGGAAAAATGACAGGAGAGCAGTATAGGATACGAGGAAGAATGCAGGCATCGATGAATCGCCAGACTAAGGGTTGAGGTGTGTAGTAGGAAAGTAACCGACGTTTGTACTAAAGAACTTTACGGACTTTAATAAAAATGGACTCAATATGGAGGGAAAACGCGAGATATGAGGACAAAGAAATGCCGATTTACCTGAAAGAAGATATTTCGTTAGGAAAAATGTCAGAGGATTCAGGACTAGGAGAAGGCCGCAGTCGAAAAATACACTGGACGGATTTTTGGTTGTTTATTAGGAGGCCACTTTCCTCCGACCATACTAGGACATGGTTTAGGTCATCCTTTAGAGACTGCAGGTGTGTCGGACTTTTGAGAGGGTGCCCAAAAACCACATCATCAGCATACGTGACCAAAAGACTGTCGTTAGTTCACCTTAAATCGTCAGTGTGGAGGGAGAAAAGGTGAGGGATAGAATGGAAGCTTGGAGAACACCGCAGTCATTGGGAAGGATGTAGATTTCCGCTTGCAGGTTAGACGAATTGAATGCGTTAAGTAAAATAATCGCTAAGCCAAGAGACGACCGAGCATGGAGATTCACACGCGGAGGTTTTGGCAAGGAGAAGAGGGCGCAGGACGGTAATGAAGGTGGAGGAGTAATCAAGAAAAGCGCATGCGTACTCGCGGCAACCCCTGTCTAATGCTTCTAGAGCGGAGTGGTCCACAAGAGCAACAGCATCTAAAGTACTCCGTTTGGCTTTGTATGCAAATTGTAGAGGGTCGGCAAAACTGAATATGTAGTCCGTACCAAAGCCCTTCTGACCGTCCAGTTCATGCAGTGGTGTAAGGTGAAGAAAGTAAGTCCTGGGGCTGGAGGCTCTACAGCTGTCGAGTTAAATAAAGTTGCCCTAACTCGCAACGAAGGATATAAGCCAGCGCTTCGACCAGTCCTCGATTCCGTTCAAGTGCATTAGCAGGTGGCATCTGTCTGCCGCATTGTGAATTAACTTTCTGCAATTTTAGGTCGCCAGCAAACATGATGACGTCGCAAACCAGGGTTCAAACTCACTCATTCATTTAAAAAGAAGGACGAGCAAGGAGCTTAAATCTGAACTCAGCTGGACGTCAATAACCATGGTTAGTTCTGTGGACTGCTGCCGCCCGAATTGCACTCTTTGAGATCTGTACTAGGCGGCCTCCACGAACTCCTACGCAGTGCAGTTTGTGCAGAATACGTTGATGATGAACACTGTCAAAAGCCTATTTGAAGTTGATGTAGATTGCCTGCATCATATTGCCTTCGTCGCATGCCATGGTCCAGCACACAAGTGGGAAGAGCAGATCCGTGATACAGGACCTACAGCAGCGAAAGCCGTGTTGGGCATAGGACAGGAGGTGATTTTGCCCGATGACCCGCGCCAAAGCCTTCTTTATAATTTTCTTCATGATTTTGTAACAAGCAAGTTCAAGGACCACAGGCCTGCCAGTTATTCGCAGACGCCTGACTTCTACTCTCAAATAGCCGAGTGCAGGTAGCGAATTCCAGTCGGAGAATAGGCAACAAATAGCAAATGACGCTTGGAAGAATAGGGCTAGCAGTAAGGGCACATCAATGCTGGCTCCCTCAACAACTTGGCCGCGATTGCATCAGAGATTGGTGAAGTCGATTCTCCCAGGTTAAGCAGGTCTTCCTGATGGATTGCTTTGGTGAACGGGACGGTTTAGATCGTAGGCGTTTATGCGTCTTTACAAGTGGGTGGGAAAAGTCGGGTTCACTGATCACGAAAGACCGAAAGAACTGAGAGATGTTCAGCCTCGTCCCTGTCCTCTGAGATCTCCGCACGCCCGATCATTCGCGACAGTGTCATAGGATTCTTGTTCACCCTACACTGCATTATATAACTGTAGACGAATTTGGGATTAACTATGCACGGTTCAGAAGAATTTTTCGAAGACCGGTCTATCTCTGGTGACTTCCTCCCGTTTGTATGTTAATTTGCTCTTTCATTTGTTCTTGTTGCTTTTTGGTTTGCATTACCGCATCAATACGCAGGCTCCGTCTTCTTTCAAAGAGCATCAATCTGTTTTGTATAACAGTATGTGCCAATGACGCTTTTCCAGTCACGACCAAACCTCTCAGTACACAGCAGGTTTTTAATATTCTCTTGGGTTTTGGTATTCGGGCGCCATATTACACAAGAATTTATGGGACCTCAAATAAGCTTTATCTCACACGGAAACTGAACTAGTTTTATTTACAGGGAGCTCCATTGTAAATCAGTCAAATAAAATTAGGAAACGGTAAACTACTACGAAAATTATCATCTCGCAAGATAAGTAAAGGACAGTGCAGAGACGAATCGTGGAGGGTAGAATTATCGAGTTATAAACGGCGATATGCAAGTTGTAGTTGTTTTAATGGGTCCCCCCATATTTGCTTTCGTCTCCTCTGCCAGCGGTCGGCTGGCGAAGTCGTTTTTGACTCTCAAATTTAACAAAGTGGCTGATTATAGAAAATAGCATTTTGATAAAAACAGCCCAAAGAGATGACAGAGTTTGGCGAGTTTGAGGAAGGCGAAGTAGGGGATTTGAGCGACTTTGAGGATAGTAGTCAGGCCGGCGGCCGTAGTCAGCCGTTGACCCCAGCCGGTAGCGAAGTTGAAATGAACTCGGGTCATAGATTTGATGGGCGAGGTGATGGAGAGAGTGGTCTCGGGGAAAAGGGTTTGGGAATTTGCCACTCCCAAGCTCCTTCCAGGGGCCGCTATGATGGTGATCTCAGTGACACGGTGGAATGCGCTAAAGGTAGGGGGCAGGGAAGGCCGGGTTCGCTTCTAAATTTGCTATCCGACGATGAGGGCCCCAACGTGCCCAAGGTAAATTATTTAGAATGCTAACTGAGATGCTTAAGCCACTGGGCGTCGTCCGCAAGAAGAAGCGGCGCGAATGGAGTCGTGGGATCAACCGACACGCCACCAATAGGCCAGAGAGGACGCGGTGCCGTTTTTTCGTAGAAGGTCGCTGCAATAAGGTTCTCGAGATTCCGTGCGTCACTTACTTTGCGTATTTAGGGGGCGGATTGCCCATTTAGCCACGATGTATTGCCCACGAAGAAGCAGGAATTGTGCAAGTTTTACGCAACTGGAGGCTGTAGTAAAGGCAGACAATGCCCATTTCTGCACTCCGAGTTCCCATGCAAATTCTTCCACCTAACCCGGAACTGCTACCACGGCGACAGTTGCAAGTTTTCGCACCTGCCACTGAATCCTAGGACTAAAGCACTTCTTGATCGTATCGCTAATGACAAGGTAATCTAGCTAGGTCGTTCAAATGCTTGTTTAGGCTCCAGTTAATGCAGTTGAGGCAGCGGCTAGCGGCTTCCCGACAGACGCAGGAGTTTCCCGACAATGCTTGCCGCACGGAGAAGTGGCCGAACCCTACGGGGACGTAGACTACCGCGGAGATAATCCGTCCTGGTGAGTTCCCTGCAATAGCTTGGAATATAAATCCAGCCTGTGTTTTTTACATTAATTGTTGAGCCTCAAACTAGGTCCCAGACACATAACTATGGCGGCTGGCGGGTGTGAGCGTCGACTTGACAGGAAATTCCCGTCTTTTTGTCAAATTGTTTCAGCACGGAAGCTCTACTAAAAGCCCCGTAGACAACGGAGTAAAGCATGTTTGGAGTTTGTAGTAGGTACACGTTTTGGGAACTTATACTGTTTGCTATAGTATTCGAGGGTCTGCGATTACTGTCGCCTTTCGGTCGGTCAATTTGAAAAAAAGTGCAATACCCGAGCTTAGGGTCCGGGAGCCCCTGTATCTCGTACGCCATCTCCTGTGATGACGCCGAATGCGGGACATTTGCGAGGGTTACTTTACCTTTGCGGGGTACGGCAGCCCTCCTAAGTTTTTCCACTTTCACTTTCTGCCGGATGTCAGCACACCTGTTAGCTAGATAGCCATATATATATATATATATAACGGAACGAGTGAGTTCCGTATGAACGATCGGTGAGCGCCCCTTACCACTGTATATTCCCGATCGAAAACCGACAGGGCAACGGGCTCGTGGCCCGGTGAGTAGAGGCGTGGACTTCTAAACCAACAGGTCTGCCGCTTGCCTCGTATTATAGCCGTGCGCGACGCACGAACTTTGACCTGCCTGTTTGCCGCTGACTGGCTTAGACCTCCCCGGGGCTGACCGCTGACAGGCCTGCGTGATTTTTGTTCCCTTTGGGGTCGGAGCAATTGTGGTCAAATCAACGTGCCGCTTGGCCTCTCCCACGTCAGCCGGTGGACTGATCGGTCGTTGCTGTTCAGGTGAGCAACATTCAGCTTCGCGGGCGCATCGGCGAGCCAGTGTTCGGCTTTGGTCACATAACCTCTGGCCCCCAACTCCGCTCTTTTCCATGAGCGTTGCCTCTCGGTCCCGCGTGCTCGCTTGCTTTACTGGTCCTGTCCGGCCTGATCCGAGCCTTGTACGCACCACTCTGGCCATCTTCTCATTGGCTCGACCAATTACCCTCGTTTTCTCAAAGGCAAGATCGTGGTTCAGTTCTCCTATGTGGCCATTGACTCAAGACAGCTTGTCCTTGCAGTTGATTGCAAGTTGGTGTTCGTGCTATCTTGTGCCGAGGCGTTTGCCCGTTTCACCAACATACCTCGCATTGCAATTTAGGCATGGTATGCTGTAGACTACCACCGACTGTTCTGTTGTTGGTAGCGGGTCTTCGGGCTTCATGAGTTGCTGTCTGATGGTGCATTCTGGTTTATGAGCCACGCCAATCCCAAAAGGTTTCAGGATTCTCACCGTTGCCTCTGATACGTTCTTCACATACGATATTGAGAGCCAGAACTTGGGCTTTTCTCCACTCGACCGCTCCAAATGAGGCTTTTTGAGGCAATTGCGTATGAATGACTTCGGGTAGCCGTTGGCATTAAAAAGGACGTGTAAGTAATTCATCTCCTCCTTCTTCCCACTGTCGTCGCTACAGTGTGTTTGAACACGTTGAAAGAGAGTTCTGACAACTGCGTTTATGACCAACAGGGTGGTTGCTTCGGAAGTGGAGGATGCGCCGAGCATTTGTAGCCTTACGGTAAACCGTTGTCCTTATCTTCCCGTCTGTTAATCTCGTAACTTGTACGTACAGGAAGTACAACTGGTTGTTGACTTTCTCTTTCATAGTAAACTGAATTTCGGGAAAGATTGAGTTCAACAATGCCCTGAAAGCCTTCACCTCACTCCTCTTGATTACAACGAACGCGTCGTCGACGTATCTGGCCCAGAACTTCGGGGGGTACGAGCTGAAGACCAACTGCTCGAGCGTCTGCAAAACTGCTTTGGCAATTAGTCCAAACAGAGGCGAGCCCATCGGTGTCCCCTTCTTTTGCCCGTAGACTTGGCCGTTGAATGTAAAGAAGGTCTTAAGACAGTTCTAGGAGCTCGATGATGTGTGTTCGTTTGAGCTGTTGGTCGGTCTCATCATACTTTTCCCGAAGAAAGCCATCAATAGTGTCGATAGCCAGCGCGGGTGGGATGGAGGTGAGTAATGAGATCACGTCGAATGACACCATCACCTCACCTGCCTCCTTTTCGTGATGTTTGATGCACGTCAAGAACTCTTCAGCCGACTTCACTGTCCACTTCGAATCCTTGGTAAGGAAACACAGTCGCTGGTACAGCCACTTTGACAGCCCAAAGGTTGGGGTACCACGTAAGGAGACGATGGGGCGTAGCGGCACCCCCTGCTTGTGGATCTTTGGTAGGCCGTAGAAGCGCGCCATCGCGGTATCACTGGCTTTTGCGGCCAATGTTTCCCTTCTCGTAAGAGCTCCTGCCTTCCTCAGCTTACCGATCGTATTGTTTGTGCTGTTTACGAGCTTTTTAAACTCGCTGACGGTCGATGGCACATAAGCGTCCTTGTACATCAAGAGGTTGCGCCCCTTGTCGGCGGGCAGGGTGACGATATCCTCTAGTTTTCGTATTTTCAGAAGTTCTCGGTCGTCTGCTTTAAAAATCGTCATCTGGTGTTTGTGTTGGATTAAGGCCGACACTTGTTGTCGCATGGCTTTTTTGCGCTCCTCGCCTGCCTCACACATCTGGAGCGCCGATCCAAAGGATGCAGTAAAGTCTTCTGGTCGAACACATATATGTGTATTAGAAAACGGGTATCCAATACATATGTACATATATAGTGGTAGAGGAGCGTTCGCCGATCCTTTGTAAGTTATAGTGAGTCCACTCCTCTAGCCATTTAACTATGGACTCGTGCTGCTTTCTGTTGTGGCCGGGAGTATTCACTGCGGTAATAAGGCGCTCATCGATCAGGTTACGGGTCATGCCCGTCCCGTCCTACCCCGGAGCTCAATCTAGTCCCTCTACAGCTGTTAGCATAACGCTTAATCGTGTATGTGAATAGAGAGATACCAACAAATACAGAGGATATTGGAATTGCCTTTTCTGGCATATTGGTCGTCGTCAGCTAGCCCTGCCCAGCCCTAGGCCCGGATGACCTGGGATTCGAGCCCGGGTCATCTGGTCAAGACCTTAAGTAGTCCAGCGTTCTGCCATTGATCTACGGAGCCAAGCCTGTCATGCTGGTGACTCAGAGTCCGGATCTCCCGATACCTAAGTAGCTGACGGCCTTTTAGTGGGCCCCGACTCAGCGGGTTGTCAACACTGCGTCACATGGGATTTTAACTTTAGGTGGTTGCTATTCTGTGTCCGGATTGATGCACAGAGAGGCGACAGTTAGGGCTCTAGGAGCCAGCATCAGATTCCTGGAAAATTATGACGATTGAGAACGGTGGTTGGTCCATGTGCCTAGGTGGTCGTAAGTATTGGAAGGCCGACTAGTGCCTGCAATAAGTAGATGTCTAAGGGTTTTTGTACGTATACCTGCACGCTTACGTTATTAACATGAACGTCTGTCAGGTGAACTCGGCAACTCAACTCGTAAGACGTTGACCAAAAACTATTAGCTCCTTTGCGCGGTTTATCTTTTTTTCTTGCGGCATATCAGTGACTCACTGCTATCGAAGAAGTAACGCCCACTTGTGTCCTTTTACAGTCAGCAAGTCGTTCGAGGCGGCCAACTTCCCATGGGTTTTGAACCGAGACCCCCGAGGCCGGACATGGACCTCGATTTCGACTGTCGTCCTTACGAATACGGACCTAGGGCTCCTTCAAACTATAACACACAACGACCAAGGATCTTTCCTCCTGGCTCATGTCGCTTCTCCAACGGCGTCCCTAGGCCTACGGGCCGGGCTTTTGGTGTAAACATACCAGGGTTGCAGCAGGAATTCCAGCGGGCTAGGGGCCCCACACTCAGTCCACAGATGAGATTTGGATTTTCCCCAAATTATCCTTATCTGAGGTCGCGGTCCCCGCGCCCTGCACCTGGGAGGATCATCGAGCCAGAAAAGCCACCTACTACCTTCCCTTCATTACAACCCATTACAGCCCCTTCCGGTGAAGATTTGGTAAATTTCGGTTTTTTATCACGTTCTATTGTTTTTAGCTTTTTCATTTGCAGTAAGGTGACTAGATGCTTTTTTTACCAAACTAGCAGGAAGTTATCACGACAATTTGCTTTAATATCTACCTCCACTGGTTCCTTGCATGCCAAGGTCGATAAACCAACTTTTACACTTGGATGGTTGAACCATCTAGGCTTGAGGGGGCTAAGACACACAAGAAAGTGTTAATTTTCTTGAGGTAAATGCATGTGTCTCCGAACTATGCAGCCACTCTCTCCCTCACTCTCCTCTGAGAACGTGTGTGCTGACCGATTATATCGTTTTTCTGGCAAGTGCCAAACGCAATCAATAATACTCAATGACGTCGAAGCTTGCTAACTTCAGAAAATGCTCCACATAACAAAGAGTGCTTACGGGGTGTTATACGCTGTCTACTGCACAACAACGGGTAATTTCGTTAGTGAGGTAGTAATCGACCTTGGTTACCTATCATTTGGTGCCACAGAGGACAACGATTACTGTCACCATCGCGTTTGCTGTTATCCGTGTCCGACAGAAGGTAGAAGACGGCGTGTGCGTGTTTGCATCCGGTAGCAACTTTCCTCGAACCTCCTCTGCGCATTCCTTGGGCATTCGCCAGCGCGATGTCCATCCACTGTCTGTTCCGGCTCTATAGACAGTCACAATTGAATTTATACTTGCCCTCGTAATGCCTCCCTGACTCCAATTTTTGGGCAATAACGTTATCGGAGGGGTCCATCGGAAAGTTAGCCGATAATCTAGTCCAATCTATCGGAGCTCCTACGCACACCAAAATTAACTTTGTCAGCACCGTTGTGAACCCATTGACTGGGATGCCGTCTAACAGCCCCACACACTTATTAACACAGGCACCAGTTCTATAAAATTTGGGCTTGCAAAAATGACTGTACCACAACTCAAGTTTCGGTTGCCTCCCGGACCTGTGCACCCGATACTAAACACTGTCTCAAGTGAATAAAAGCCTCTCTCACAAAGTCTTCTTTGTGCGGCATTCCGTCCTTGCGCCATCTGTTTGGATAGAAGGCATTTAGCCGTTCACTTCCTCCATCCCTCCCTCACGTCACGAACGGCAGGCGTGCGGACAAAAAGACATTATGACAACCGTTAAATATTCTCCCGGTCGGACGCACTTGTGCGAGCGACTCTAACCAGTCGGCGACCACGTTGACGCCGTCGAGGTCCGCGGTTTTCATGTCTAGGCCGATTCATTCACCCTGATGGTCTGCCAGGGACAGGAGCATATTGCAGTCAGTTGCTTAGGTATCTGCGGTCGGAGGAGACAAGAATGTATGCCTTGCTTCCCTTTGATTTTGGCGATTTCCTACTGCATCTGACGTTTTGATAGAATAAACCAGACAAAGTTTTGATACGTAGCTAACAGGCTATCCGCGCCCATTATTTTCCCGAGGAAATTCTGATGCGTCAAAGTAAACTCTGCTGCGAAGTCGGTACTGCTTTAATAATATAACTAGGACAAATGTACAATTAACAAAGCCGTTGCTTGCTCGGGATCCATCCTAATTTGACTTGGCACACCGATTTTGCAGCTGAAAAATGGTTAAGGAGCATGTTAGTATATATGCGTGGTGTTGTTGAAGGGGTTCATTTTCTGGTATTTTTCGCTCGAAATTCTCTTATGTCTTAAAAGCAAAGCTAGAAAAACCACCTCAATCGACTGAACTCCCAGCTTCTACGGCGTACAGAGTGCTACGAACGGAAACCACACCATATCCGGTGGTATTCAGAGAATCCAGCAACGTGTTGCTGTCTAGTCTGGTCTTGCTAATGTTAGCTAATATTCTTACAGATCCTGGCTGTGTCAGGAAGTTCGACACCGCCATAATTTCTAAAATCCTTGTTAAAATCTTAGATAGTTAGAATTGTCTATTAGATTATTAGAGGGCCCTTTCGACCGTCGGATTTGGACCGGAGAGGGGGGGAATTTCTAGTCATACCCTATTTTTGATCAGGACCGACTAGTATAATGCCTTTTATGGACTGCCCCCATTGATGTCTCCACGCGCGGCGGCAGTTCCAGTGAGTTTTTTCAAGACCTTTTTCGGTAACCAACGTCGAATTCTGCGGGTCCAAGAACCACCAAACTGTCTGACCAGGTTGTGAGCTGGACACTGTCCCGTTGTCTTCATTGAGGCGACGATGTTGGAGTTCGGGCAGCAGCGCTAGATTCGTGCAGTGTCGCAGTTCCTACAAACTCATTCATTTGAAATTGATTCAGCTTACTTCGTATTATGGAATCACTTTTGGTTGACGGTCGTCGCAGAATCCAATTTTCGATGGTCGTCCGATCACTGTTCCCACCATTAACAACCGTAGAAGACGACTGACCGGACGAATGCCCGATACACTCAGACCTTTGTGTCAGCCGATCTATCGCGTCTGGCCCTCACGAGTAGCCCTCGCCTGGTTAGCTGTACTGCCAAATTTTCGGCAGTTGTTAGGTCATGTCTGGCCTCAGGCTATTTGAAACTCGTATGTTAAGCCCTACAGACGTTACACGAGGCGGGTACCCTCTCCTAGTCAGTGATGCAGTACAACAAGCCAGGGGCAGTCCCACCAAGCACGGCCACTTACGCAGACAAGTAGGATTGACGACAAGATACTTATTAAACACCCTGACCATTATTATTAGGCTACGGACTGTAAGTGCGAGTCGGTGGAGAAATAGCAAGCCTTGATCAGGACTAAAAACGTTGACCGTCACCGTTTAGTTTCATTAAACGCTGAACCCGTGTCGAAACTTCCAGAGGATGACGTTGGCATACCGCTACAGCAATGATGATAAGATTTAAGCCGCTCTACTTCTCGCACTTCGTTCCATCTCCACCCTGCAAGACGAACACAAATATACCCGGCCCTAGTCGTCAGGCGTGACTTCATTAACCCTGTCTCATGAAAACAGAGCATCGGCACAGGGCTTGCAGACTTAAACGGGGACGCCGTTCCACCATGACGTCTTATTGCGCAGCCCCATTACTGTGTCGGTCATTTTCGTTTTGGAAGAAGAGATACCATGACACCAAGACCAAGACAAACAGGACGAGTGCAGGCGAGCTCGGGCGCAGTGATTTACGGCCAACCAGACCGTCCACACGTGCTCCGCTCGACCCGGTTTCCTCATAATGCATCAGGTCTTCGCAGAGGCTTTGAAAGTCGACGGTGAAAAGCGCATACTACTTAAGTGCGCTTTTCGCAGGCAGTCGGAAAGAGGCTCATTAAAAAGCTGGCATTCTGGCGTGACTGAAGGGTCTTGTGATGGCTGGTTCGGTCGCCAAGGGCAGTCAGCAACCCATTGTGGTTGGAAGAAGGTAACCTTATCGGTTGCTTTGCCTTATCTCACCTCCGTTCAGGTCTTGCAGCTGGAAGACTACAGCTTATTAGTATCTAACGTAGGTCACACGCCTTCGCCCCTTCAAACCAGAAGTAGTCTTCAGCGAAAACAACGGGCGAACAGTCTTGAGAACGCAACGTGATTACCTAGGCCTATGGAACTTCTACTTTCGGAGTGCGCGTTTGGGGCATTGCATGCGTTCCACCGCTGCAAATTCACAGAGACCTTAGCAATTTCTCCACATACTACAGTACCGTGATCAGCTGTCCCTCGGAGACATCAAGAGGCAGCGCGCATGGAAACTAGCCTGAATCAATTAGCGACGGCAGAGTGAGTTATGCGTGCTTCGCATACTAATTTCCTGGCCACCTTTTATGCTCATGGTTGACGTAAACGTTTGCAGTACATCCTGACTGTGCCGAAATCCAAAACAAATTAGAGCTTGTCTTTACGGCATAATATAATGCTCCCTACTCGGGCGAGACTTGTCGACAAACGCATATACCTATCTACATGGCACCATAGTTAGACCGTTCCAACCGATGACGTCCACGGCCACTTCGCAAGGTGGGCGCGGGGGTGAGTTTCGAGTTAGTTTTCAGTGAAGCAGCCTTGCGCTGCATCTGGCCTTCTTGTTCCGAGCAAACATATTACGACCGGAGGTGGACTCGGGCACAAAGCTATACAGCCCGTCTGCGCGTGCCACGACCTGGTCCCCGCTGTTCCATATGTACCGGACTGCACTTAGTAAGAGGTATGGAGTCTCATATAGGTGAGCATGCCCTGAAGACCACATTAAGGAGCCATTGCCGCCTCACCCTAAGTCATGAAAAGGACGGAGTTATCCCGTTGACAACCGTGAAATATTCAAGTGGCGTCTTGTCTGCCATTTATTAACGCTTCTTATGAAGTACACGACGTGGCCCATAACCACTGCGAAATTTTATGAGCCCTTTATGTTACCTTCTTAATGCATGGACCGCCTAAGATACTCCGGCGAACTGGAGAGGGGTAGTAGTCACCAGGACATAAGAAAGATTGCAGATAGCATGAGTCAATCACGAATCCAGTCAGTATCACAATAAGATCTGAGACCCGTGTACTACGGGTTGGTACTATGCAGGGGAATAAATAAATAGTTTTGGTTAGCTGATATGGGGGCACTGTCGCTGTGCCCGATTTCCATCTGTACCAATCAGTTTACTCTCCCAGTTTCGGCATTATCAGTTTCGATTGCAGGAAGTCTGTGTTGGATATATGGCGACAAGCTACCATCTGACAGACAGGTCAATTAGACATCAGACAGGAGGATCGCAACAAAATCCTGTGCCGGACCAATAATAGTTTCGACAAGGCCGTGAAAGGTCAAAAGTGGCTCAGCGACGGCGAGCCTCTAGTCACTACATCCAGGTCAATGTGCGACGAAGTGACTTTCTTCACACCTGGAATCGCTTACAGTAGGCGTGTGTAAACTGTTGAGCTCGCATTTGCATACCAAGCGCTGTGTAGTTAGGTTGGGAGCGGAATCTCAGCCACGGATCTGTTCACTGTCAGTTATAAATGACGCAGGAACCTAGTTGATTGGCTAGTTCAAGGGTCAAACTGCCGCCTTGCACTTGTCGTATCAGCTCGCGTGAATGAACTATTACTCCCAGAAGTCAACTCCTCAACACCAGTGTAGGAAGTTCCCCCAACTCGCCTATTCTCAGCTATCTCGAGCGAAAATAGACGATTGAAGCTGACAAGTCAGTCATCGAAGCCTATCCTCATAAACCTAAGTACGAAAACGCGTTGAGTGTTTTTTCTATCGCCATTTTAGCCACTGGTAGTTACTGATAGAGGTAATACCGGACCATTATTCGATAGTTTCTAGTCTTTCGACCCCTACAACCAGCACTTGGCTTTCAGTTGTTTTGTGGTCCTTTTCTCACCGACGGGCGTACGAGGCTTCCCAATCTAAGAAATGGCCAGGATCCAGACGGATCCTTCCGGCAGACTCAATATCCCGGAAAATCAAGTGCTTGTATAGCTTGATAAATGTTTCAACCTAATATATGCTGAATAAGTCAAATGATAAAGATCTCTAGGACCTTCTGTGAATAACTAATCAGGCATTAAACACAAAAGTGGAGTGTTCTGCGTGCCCACTACTGATAGCTTTGGAGGGCCTACATGGAACCATTTATTTTGTACGTATGTATTTTGGTGCATTATGTGTATTTCTAGCCACTTATTTAGAAGGACAGACCACTTCCTACCGGGAATGATCGTCGAGTTCTTAAAGGAACTTGACCCTACCCTTGTCAAGCAAACCATGATAAGCAAATAAGGACTCCGGGGCGATCTACTACTGGCGCCACGGGCACTGTCTTAACCAATCCTGTGTCAGTCTATGCCGATTTAGGTTATTGCAGGTGGTATCGGGTTTTAAATATGCGTAGAATCCTAAGCTAGTTACTATAAAGGTCTTCGTCCTGTTTCATGTTACATTAAACTATCAGTCATACTGGGTTTTGGCAAGCCATCTTACTGACCAGATTAACTGTTTTCCATTTTAGTCCACAGTCCCCCAAGAAGGGCCACAGAAGGATGTGGTGGGCTCTCCCATGCAGCCGCCCCCAGAACTTACTCTCAGTGGAGATTTTGTGCTCTCCGTGTCAGAGCAGGCGAGCGATGGTGGCAAGGCACGTCAATGGCACCTCCTACCACTTGAGATCGAGGAGAAATCAGCATATACCACCCTAGGATTAGCGCCCGCTAACGATCCTAGACTAGTATCTAGAGTAACTTTGGATCCCAGGCTTCAAACAGGTCGATCGAAAGCTGCTTTCTCGTCGACCATAAACACAACTCCCGTCGTTCCTAAGGACAGTGAGGGGGAGGGCAAATCCCCACAGCCACAATCCAGCCTATCCTCCGCTAACCCAACAGAGAATGTCGACTCCCAGCCTAAGTTGGGGAGCAAACGGCGTGTTAAGTTGCAGCTAAATGAGCTGGCAAATAACTTTGTTGCTGGTGCCTCCTTAGCTCAAGTAGAATCAAAGGAGTCACCAACAACTGCTGTAACGACAAGCGACAGATCCTACCTTCTAGACCCGCGCCTTAAGCGTCGCCGCGTAGTTCCTGTCGAACAGCAACAGGAGCATCAACCGCCACCACAGTATTCCACTCCCCAACAGACTATGAAGTCCCCCTCTGATGAGGTTTCGGGGTCAGCAATGCAAATCGCCATAAATGGTGCTGACAGCGGCCAGCCCGTGTAGAGTTATTTCCTCCCCACCATCGCTCCGTCAGTCTTTCTCTGCCCTCCGACTGCCATCTGGCAGTACATGTGCGCGTGCGCACCTCCTCGTGTGCCCACGAGTGCGTCAAGTGTCTGCATGCCTACTTTGCGCGCACTTCAGTATTTTGTAAATCGTCCCACCTAGTCGAAGTGGCGCAAAGGCGTGCCGCCATGGTCGGATGCGCGCAGAGTGCGCAGAGCCCAGCCTTATACCCCTCGCGCACGCTAATGTGAGTGACGATATGCGTGTGAGAGTAAGGCGGGGCCAGCTTGTAATTACATGTATAAATGTTTGAAATCTTTCTATTTGTGCAAAAAGAAGCCGCTTCGCGTGCTGTTGTCCTCATACTTGGAAGCTGCCATATTGTCGGTTCCAGGAGAGGTACTGGTCGAGATCTTTTGGAGAGACACTTGCCTTTACGTGATTGAACGCCATATCAAAGTCCACCATGCGCACTGGCGGTACCTACAGTTACGCAAGAATTTCGACAAACAGGTGGTTTTTAAAAAATGAGTAGGATTATGGTTGCGTGTAATAAACCTAGACATGGCTCTCACCTCGCTGCAGGCGATGGATTGGATAGCTTCTAGGGAAAGACTCCTGATTGGGCCCATCGCCGCTTCTCTGCACAAGTTTGCCACATCAGCGCCAGAGAAACCTGATAAAAATAAGTTGAAAGCATTTCAGGCACGAAAGAGGCATCAAATACGAGCATGGACCTGAGGCAGTCGAGGCCTACAAGTCCATCAAAAGGCATGCCGTCGTGTCCGCAGATACGGTTTACTTACAAATTGGAATTCACTCAGTATGTCGCACGTCCAGCTTGACAACTACAGGGGCGGTCGTGAAATGGCTGTCTTGTGTGACAGTTTTCGCGTCTTAGGTCGCACAAGGGAAAACGGAGCTGTGCTGTTCTGTTGTAGAGCGGTGAATAATTTAATTCACCCCACGCAACTGGGAAAGGACAACCTATTCGAACGGCACGCAAACTATCTTGACGAAAATTTGATTGCATCTCTTAAAAAGTAGAGGGAATGTACGACCTATTGGGACGGGGTACAGTAATCGAGGCGTAAACTAAGGCGCCAAGTGTTTCACGTGTCTGATGCCCGTGGCCCTGCGTTAGTTGGCGGTCCAAAGGCTCATTCAAAAACGCGCGGACAAGCACATGTTCGAGGCCTGGTTCCCCTACGGCGGGGAGGCGGCGGTCAACTTGCTTCCCAAACTGGCGTCGGTGGATACTATCGTCATGGCTGGTGGGTTTGAGAATATGGCACTGGTGGACTTCAGCACTGTGCCGTGCTTTTCTGACAAAGTGGTCATGGGCTTGAAGAGTTTCACGGGCTACGCGTCTGAAGTGGTCTCCAATTACTCTAATTAGATGATGCAATCAATTGTTCGCCGAATTTGGTCGGCCCAGGACTTTTTTGTTTAGTCACTAACAAGCTCGCAAAACTCATTTGAGAGCCCCTTAAAAGACGTTTGTGAGCTTGTTAGTTCCCCTGGCGGCTGAGGCAGGTTCACGGTCTAGAGACGCGCCCACATCTTAGGAGACATTTGGGTACTGAAGGACCTAATGCGAATGAATGGGAAGCCCACATTACGTCGAAAGAGAGGTGGCAAAGGGCGATTTTTGCCTTTAATTTATAAAGCAGCTCTGGCGGGAACAGTTGTCGATTTTCATTTCCATTTTCACTTTGAACCGATACTCGTCCTACCGAACGTCTTAAATTTAGAAATGTCAACGAAAGGTTGTAACTCTGAGACCGGATGTTCAAATCGCAAGATACCGTTCTTTGCTAGATGACGTCTCGCGGTGAAATAATTCCGTGCAAATCGGGAGGCGTCATGCAAGACAAATCCGCCAATGCCTGGCGATTTGGATGGAAACACGGTAGATGGACTCAGCCACACGTCGAGTTGACAACAAAGGGGGCCGTGTGCAGGTCAACAACCTCGTTCTCGGTCAGCGCCCTTGAACTCGAAGTTGTCTCGCACTAATACTCTTAGGGCCGGGATTGTCGACTAGTTACTTTGGGGGAAGCGCCAGTTCGCCGGGCCCATGTGTCCGGCAGCAGATGGACAAAGTCGCGCGCGCTTATTTTGCAGACTTACCATCCGACCTCTCCGCAATAACATCTAGGTCTTCTGGGGATAGACTGTGGTGCTGCTGAGAAATGAGCCGGCAGACGATTTCTCTTCTGGCCTCGGAGCATGGCAGTGGTATGTACAGCTTCTTGACAAATCTGCGCCTCGCAGCCTCATCAAGTTCTTGTGGTCTACACACGATGACGAGGCAAAAAGGTTAAAAAAATAGATGGGGTTAGATAGGTAGGCGGGAAGAATTCGATGTAACCACTACTGGTTAGAGGTTCTGAAACTTCCAACTATGCAAAAACGGTGGCGAGTCTGTGAGGTGTTCGGATGTTAGGGCATACGCAGGCTTTACAATCACTGGTCAAAAGCCGGGCAACTAGTCATTTCAACAACAGCGCTTTGGGGACGCTGGCGCGTCAACGCGTCTCAGAGCTCGGACTCTTACCTGAGGTTACTCTAGACAAACACAGGCGGAACCCCTCGAACGAATTGGATCGACAGACCGGAACTGACTGCCGCACAGTTCTCTGCGTTATCACAATCATAAAGGTCTATAAAACGGCCCGGCTCGGGGGGCGTGGTAGATGCTATTTAAAATCCTCGACTGACGATCTTGCTGCAACTGATCCTCAAAAAGCAATGTGGTTTGTTATGCCGAGTACTTGACCTGAGCCGCTGGGCCTCGTAAACTTGCAACGGCGATGAGCCCTACGCTCGTCTTGGTAGGATACAATGCTGGCTGATTGTCAAAGTTACTGTCACGCCGTGACTGATAAGCAATCACAATAAAACATCGATGTCCATTCGGAGGAGGGGACAATAGTAATTAACAGGGACATGGGACCCTGTCTGTATCCGCGGGCCCCATCGCAGAATGAAGCGCAGCAAAGCGTGCCGTCGTCTCAGGGCTTAAATAACCGTGCAAAACGGATAATGGCCCTCTGTTAGTTGAATGAGTTTCCGAGCGTATATCGTGTGCGAGTGCTGTTCAAAGAATCCACCCAGTTATGCGGAAATAACACGTAGAGCTGGGCCGACGGCAAGTGAGCATACTTGCTTTATCACCGTCTTCGGGACAAGGAACTTGCATGAATCGGTGATAGAAAACGCCGTTTTGCCTTTTTTAGACGCTGCATGCAAATCGACGGCTCAAACTACATAAATAACAATGAGCTCACCGGTTTGTTGCGCCGACCAACAGAAGGCGGTCCTCCGCGCCCGTAGTGACACCGTCCTAAAGAATGGGAGAACGTAGTTACTCCAAGGTCACTAGCGTGCAAACAACAATGAACACTGCACGCACACAGCTGTGCCACTGCAACTGGAAAACGACCTGGATATTTTGGTGGGCTATTTAGAAAGGACCGACCACGAGTGGAATTTCAGACCACTGACTGAACCTGTCGACCGAGGTGGTGTTGCTGTAGAAGGGGCACTATGATGATCTACATCCAGGTGGGCGTGGATCCTCTTTGACCACCAAGACAAAGAAAAGAGCATTGGACGGACTTTGATAGAGGCTCTGCTGAGGCTGAATCCAGGAATGCAGCCGATCCAGATGGGTAGTATTGCAAGAGTGCGTAGAAGAGTATCAGACTTACAGTATTTTCAAATTGTTTTGAGAAATGAACTACGAATTGGCATTTTCGGTGCACTTAGGTGGGATTAGGGAGAGAGAGGAGATGGATGTTTAGTCCCTAATGCAGTTTCGGGAGAATGTATCGAGGGTGTTAAAATAAAGGCTGCAGTCGATTACGGGACATCTAGAGGAAATAATCAATTTGCTGTAGAAATTACCATCGAGGGATTTGTCATTGGTTCCAGTTGCCCCCTAAAACGAGCCACGCGGGAAGGTTTCTATTAAAGATGTTTTCTCCGAATGGAGTATTTTGCGACCCAGATGTTTATATTTCATTGGGACACGCTCAGTATTGTCCTATGAGAGCTCTAACTGGACCTTTCCAAACACCAGGGAGGTCCAAATGCAACGCGCAGCGAATGCGTGTTAGTGTAATACGAGTGACCTCCCGATAAGTCCGACTTGGTCCCCTAGTTTATGAGAAAATAACCAAATATTTATCGCGGAAAGCAATTCAGGTAGCCGATCTTCCCGTCTCAGATAACACCCAGTGGTGTCGAGATCAAGTGAGATAATGAGACAAGGAAATGGTCAAATGCCGTTTTCGCAGCAGTATGCACCCCTGGACCTGTCTCACGACTGACTGCAGTTTTACTGATAGGGCATTTTTGTCCTACCAAAGTAGTTTCGTTCCTTCGGTCACCATTGTCTGCACAGAGTAGTCCTCTTTGGCGTGGGCCAATGTAATTACCTGCACGGCTGTTTACTTAGGATAAAATCTGAAACTGCTGCCAACGCGTCTCGTTGCGCCGGCGCAGCGAAATAACCGTTTTTGCATACAGCACATGATAAGGGAATAGCTACTTGGCCACCAAAACTTTCCCCTTAGCCGGGAGTTGCTCAACTCCGTTCACGTATCAGGAATACATTTCCACCCTTTACTTTTTTCCAACGCCCACCTCTGACTTGCAGCCTTTTGATTTGTCTGTTCGTGGGACTGGGTAAAGGATGTGGCGTGTTCTACCCACTTTTATGTGAAAATGCTGTAACTTGTGGTTCGGGAGAAGTTGGATAAATCGTGTCTAGGAGCGAAACGCTACATCCGCAATGCATTAATGGCCAAGAGGTTTGTGCCTCGCCAGTAGTCTAGATGAGAGTGTCCATGTGCGAAAAGAATCGACACCCAGCAGTTCACCAACTTCAATGAAATTATTGCCGACAGCAGAGATCCGAGATCTAAATGGGTAAGCAGTAGCTATTCAGGTGATTTGATAAATCTCTTGAGCACGCGCCGCCAAACTAT